TACCATGTTCCGCTCTCTCGCCTCTTGTGTATATGAATTGATTTTTGATAAAAACTTCTGCCAGCTTTCCCTCCTCGTCTGTCTGCGCGTTCTTCTACCTTGGGATTTCATGTTCTTAAAATTGTCAAGGTTCTCGGCTGTCGGTGAGTTCGAAGCAACCTTCATGCTTTATTTTGCTTTTTTCGAGCATTTTGACAATCATTGTTCCACCAAGGCGCGTGTCGTTTGACAGACAGTCGGCTTTGTGGAATACATTTTGTGGCAGCATCATTCAAAAATTTTGCGAAGTAGTCAACAGCTGCATTTAGGCTTATGGCACACAAATCACTCTAATTTAAAAGTGCATTTTTTTTAAACTGTTCCCAATCTGCTTTCTCAATATTCCACTTAGGAACCTGTATAGAGCATTCATTTCCTTTTGGTACGCACAGAACTATTGGAAAATTGTCACTTCTGTAGGGATTCGCAATAACTTTCCAATCAGGTAGGGTAATAAGAGTTGGGGATGCAATGCTGAGGTCTATAGCCAAGTATATATGGTTTGCGAGGGAATAGTTTGTTGGCTTTTTCCTATTCAACAGAAATGCGCCGGAAGAGAACAAAAATTGTTCGATTAGGCGACCTCGCGCATTGCAGCGAGAGTCACCCCATAGACTGCTGAGTGCATTCAGGTCCCCAAGGACCATGGAAGACTCTGGAAGTTCATCTATTAAGGTCTGGAATACATGTTTATCGAGGCGGTACTGTGAAGGTATGTAAAAAGAGCAGGTGGTGACGAGTTTGTTCAAAAGAACTGCTCGAACAGCCACTGCCTCAAGGGATGTTTGTAGTGGTAGGTGTGCACACGCTACGCCTTGATTAATTATAATGGCCACACCACCTGATGATGCCATTGCATCATCTCGATCCCTTCAGAAAATGACGTAATTCTGTAGAAAGTTTGTGTGTTTTGCTTTCAAGTGGTTCTCTTGTACACACAGCCCTTGTGAATTGTGCAGCAGTTCTTGTAGATCATCGAGGTTTCGAAGAAGGTCTCCGTTGTTCCAGTGCAGTATTTATGTCTGCATGATGAGCATAGAATGGTGCTGTGTGCATTTTAATAGGTTTAGTGTATTTTAGGGTTCAAGAGGTAGGACCATCGTCCGATCCCGTTAGTGGCTTTTTTTGTTTTCTTGGCGAGGTCCAGAGAACCACGCCAGTGTTGCGGCACCAGAGGTGCCGGTGCTCTTTTCATTGCCTCCTGAAAGGCACTGGAAGACCGCACGTGTGGTCTTTAGTTCGTGTTTCGGGCCTTGCCTGGTGTAACAAGGCCTTGGGAACCGATGGCCCTGGAGTCGCCGGTTCCTGTTCACAAGTTAGCGCAGTAGTCTTAACTACTGCTGCCTTGCGGGCAGCCGCCACAGCCATCGACTCACTCTGCGCGGGCCAGACAAGTGGCGGAGGCTGGTGTGGCACTGCCCCCAGATGCGCCACATCAGCGTAAGTTGTGCCCCAGAACAGTGAGCACCTTCTCCTAGCCTCCCTGAAGATTTTTTTCATCACTTTCAATGTATTTATGCCGTTTTCCTTCTTCCACGCTGACCACGATCGGGAGTACGCTGGGTGGTCACCACTGCAGTTTGCACAGTGAGATGAAGAATTGCATTTTTCGGAGATGTGCTCTTTTGATGCACATTTGGCACATGTGGATTGCTTTCGACAAGCAAGGGAGCCATGACCGTACCATTGACACTTGAAGCACCTTCGCGGGTTCGGTATGTATGGGCACACTCAGAGTTTAGTGTAGCCTGTTTCAATGTGTTCTGGCAATTCACTAGATTCAAATGTAAGTATAATGTGTTTTGTTGGTTTTTCTGTGTTGTCCCTTGTGATCTTTATTCTTTGGATGTTTACAACATATTGCTCTTTCCATCCGTCAAGGAGCTCGACTTCAGTTAGGCCCAAGAGGTCATCATCAGAAACAACACCTCGAACAGTATTCATAGACCTATGTAGACTGACTATGATAGGGCATATTTCCAATAGATGTCAGATTCGGGAGGGCTTCATATTGCTTCCTATCTTGCAGTTCAAGCAGAAGATTGCCGCTAGCTATTTTAGGGGCCTTATAGCCAGGTCCTAGTTCTTGCCCCTAAAATGGAAAGATAGCTCTGGATTTTCCACCAGGCTGTTACCAATGTATTACATGGTACTTTGGAAAGCGCTCATTGGCATTAAAAAAGAATGTGGTGATTGCTTCAGTGCACAACCTTTTCAGGTTACGATCAGCTTTGGAAGAAGATGCACTTAACATAACAGGTCGTTTAAGTTCCGCAGCGGTGCCAGCCACCCACTACCGAGCCCAACAAGGGGACGTGGCAGGAGATGCTTGGCAAATCCTGTCTACGCCAGCTGTACAGCGCTGCTATAACCTAATATGGGATGACCAAGACTGGGCATCCACACAAGGTTAACCTTTGCTGCCAGGAAAGATCGGAAGTAAACAGAAGAGAGAAGATGACAGGACAGATAAAAAGTGAGAGATAAAGACGAAGATGTAGCGAGAGAGAGAGATAGGAAAAGGCGACTGCCGATTTTCCCTGGGTAGGCCAGCCCAGGGGTGCGGTCTACGTGAAGCCAGGGCCAAAGGGGTGTGTTGCCTCTGCCGGGGGGCCTTAAAGGTCTAAGCACCCAGTATCGGCTCCACCCCCAGGATCCCCTTTTCCCCAGACGCGGCTCCGCCACGCACGGCTAGGCGTGGGAGGGGATCGAAATACCCCGTTAGCTTGGGTCCGTGGTGTCGCTACACATTAAACGCCTGCTTGCACACAGACACCCCTGGAGAGGCTATAACTATCGTTAATAGTTGCCTTTAGTGTCCCTTTAAATAAATGTGTGTTTTGTTTTGGTTTGTTCCAATCGTGTCTACTGTGTCCATTCACTCCAAGAGCGTGGCGCTCGCTCTCCATTTCGACACCCCACACTATGAAGAGACCCTTCTACACACAAGTAGATAAGAAGACAACCAATGGAGAAAGGAAGCATGGAATGAGGGATAGTGTGCATCACTTCACTGAAAAGCATAACGATAAAAACCAAAACTTACTAAATGCATTTGACAACAATGCAAATCACAGCACAGCACCTATAACGAACACAGCGGCACGCGCCATATGAAGTGCCACTTCCATTACAGTGTCGCAAGCCTATTTCCTCTGTAGCAGCTGCAAGGTGGTGAACACCTTTAAATGCCACTCAAGTTTTAAGCAGCGTAGTACTCGGAGACAACTTTCTGTGGCAATGCAGTCAAGGCTACCGAGTCAAACCACGCCGTTTAATCAGAGTTGTTGCACAACTGAAAGTTGTTCCGCAAAAAAAAAAAAAAGGGTTTTTGTGCGTAACCTAAACATTCAAAAATGTACAGTCATAATTTTTAGCAGCTAATTGATAATTTTGGAAGATTATTAGTGATATTATGTTAAATAGCATTATATTTTAGATTTCTTGGACTTTTTTAGTTGCTGCGTTCCCCATTGCCATCGCCTCGGCTCTCTTCCTTCATCATCTCTTTTCAGGGGGAAAAAAAATGTCCTCCGTGTCGTCAGTGCCTACATGCTTCGGTTGCTCGCCAGTTCGCTTACCGCACAGGATATTCAAGAAGCTTAAGTACCAAAAACTGTCGAAACAAACCAAGCAATTGGTTGGCAATGTGCACGGCCAAATGAGACTGACACAACCAAAACTCTCTGTCGCTTACGTGCATCATTTGGTCGCACAGCTTACCGGCCTGAGCAAGCAAACTGTGGCACAGCTCAAGGGGGATGTTTTAAAGGGTACGCTGAAGTCTCCAAAGTGTAAGAGACTTCGTTTAGCTGCTGAATCACCAGCAAAAGTTACTGGAAAAACAAAAGTGCAGCGGTACGATATATTTACCCTGTCTGCTTTTCGCCAGAAAGTACACTAGAACTACATTCGCAATGAGACGCCATTAGTTTTAATGTGAGATGAAAACTGGCAGCGGTTGAGTTTGGGCACAGTATTCGGGGGGTTCTGCAGCGGCGCCAAGTCGCCGCTACACGTTTTCTGAGCCGAGGAGCATGTGGGCATTGGCCCACCGATGTCCTTTTCATGCCGGCGTAACTCAACGCGGTCCAAACTGAATGTTACTTCGCACCACAGGAAGTGCGAGCTGCTCTTCAGTGTATCGAGCCCGTGCTATGCAATCGCACTACACACATAAGTTTTCAGATCTATACGAGTTTACATATCAATGCACGCCCTAAAAACTGCAGCGCTGAAAATATTCACGTTATTTCTGGATGACACAGAATGAAACAGACAAATTAGTCATGGGGAATGAAATGCCAATATGCCTGCATGCTCGGTAATCGTGCTTTAACGCAACCAATGAAGGCGCACATATGACGAAATTAACTGTAGGAAATACGCATCTGCCATGACGAAGCTGAAACACATTCATCAGGCACTACTTTGGCGCAGTAACACAGACCAGTGAGCGCCGCCACCGTAGCTTTCCTTTCACTGCCACAGTAAGTTGCTACAAGTATAGAGGGGGAGTGATATACAGTGTAATATGCATTTGCATGTGTTTGTGACTGCCACAATCACAAGCCCAAATTTCATTCATTACAAAAATGATGTGCCAAAAAAATTTGGGAAAAAATTTTTACCCAGACTATGTGATTGAAATACACTCAAACCTCATTATAACAAAGTTGCATCTTACACAAAAATTTGTTCGTTATATCTAAAATTCACAGTGTATTCCTATCACTTTATCTATTGCAAGAATATTCTTCATTTACTTTGTTGAAACCGGTAGTTTGTTGTATCAGTGGTCGCTACATTGTAGTTAGAGTATAGGTTTTATAAATATGAGTTTTTTTCTTTTACTGACAGCTGTACAACACACTGATAATTCATGCGACCCTCCGGAAAAAAAAAGGATAACAGACACGTGTAAAATGAAATAGTAGAAACAATAATCCTTAAAACACTACCTAAATCGTCCTTTGGAAACCGTCGATACTGGTAGTTCTTTTCCGGACCAACACCTTGCCAGTTTTTGACCTTTTCCAGGCGCATTTTTGCTGTCGCCGCCCGAAACCGTTGCTTTGCCTCTGTTACATCGCATGGTTTTTTTCGCACTTTCAGCTCATGCCAGGCCTGAAAACATCAAATTAAAGCATTTTGAACAGCTTCACATAATTCCCATGACCTAGGAATCGAAACACTTTTCCAATTTTTCATCTATTCGGGTCTGAAAGTATAGCATACTTACTCTTTTACAGATGGAGCATAATGCATTAGAGAAATAAAAAACAGCATGAATCAATCGAGAAGAAACTTATCCAGCAGTGCCGAACTATAGAACATAAGGGGTTAATGCATACTGCTATGGTAGAGTACAGAGTAGAACCTCGATGATGTGGTAACGGTTGATACGAATTTTGCAATACAGATTATAAGGTTGCTCTGGATGGGCTACATAATTTAAAATAAGCCGCGATTCAGTGTTATGCGAACGATTTCCCCTGTCACTGCAGATGATACGAACCCACGGTTCACCGCTGCATGCAGATGGAGCAACGCGGCTTGTCTGTGAGACGAAGGTCCGTTCACTCCGTACCTCGAAGGGAGTGAACATGGCAACACTCATGGGAATTTCCCTCGTTTCAGCGCCCAAGTGGCCGGAAAATCACACCGCAAGGCTAATGCGAAAAAATCGGCCCCAGACCAATTTTTTCGCAACGGGATAGCATATCACCTATTTGCTGCATGGCTTCGGCTACACTAACTACACTAGCTCTCTCTCAAATGATGTGACGTAAACAACAGGCTGCAAATTCAACATGACGGCAAAGGCGTCGGTGATGGTTCGCCACGGCACAATCGTGAACTACCCGCGCAGTACGACATAGTTCACGGCCTTGACAAAAAGGCGTTCATCGAGAGCCTGGTTTGAATTACGATTGTTGCCAACACCTGAAGTAGAAGAAGGTGCAGCAGAGGTGAGTCGGCATGCCCTAACGTGGCCTGCTTTGGTACTGCCAGCAGAATCTGCCGCTGCTTTCGTTCGTGCTGTTTCTGCTGGCGTATCTCCCGAAACAATGTTTGTACAGGTGTAAACTGTTTCTTTTCAGTGCTCTGCAAGCATAACTAGAAGTCGTTACAAATTTTAATGCTCAGGAAATGGGCAAAATGAAATGAATTCGCAGGCGGCGGTGGTAAGCAGAATGAATGTGAACAACTTTCAGCGGGCACGAACGTGGTTTCACAGCTGCTCTGGCGTTTTCGCTTGAATTTTCCCGGGAGTATGACTGATTTTATTTTGTGTCGACTACACGGCAGGCTTTTCCGGTCGCCGAGCGAATTTTCAATAATCTATGCCACTTTCCCTTCCTTTGATGCCAAGAGTGAATGCGCTTTAAGTGCCAGCAGCATGAGCGAAAAAACTGCGGCCCTTTATTGAGAGGCGGTAAAGGCAGAAAAGTTCAAAAGAACTTTCTTTGGGCAAGTAGTAGTTGACCCCAATAAAGTTCTTATTCATCTTCATAATCAGCTTTAACTGGTTTTTGGCTATACGAATTTGAGATGATACGAACATTTTGAGAACTCCCTTCAAATTCGTATCATCTAGATTCTACTGTTTCGCCTCCACTGAAATGTGACTGCCGAGGCTGAGATTAACCTGCACCTTTCATCTCAGCTGCCAAGCACCACAGTGGCAGCTTTACCCCCAGAATAGCACCTCTGCTCCAGTAAAAAGCTCTTGTTGCACGGTGTGTGCAGCGAAGTTTACGTGCGATTAGTATTTTGCACACGGCAAGAAATATTTAAAACACTATCAGATAAACATTCTCCATTTCTGCAAAATCAGTGGTGAATCACACAAGCGTTGGAGCCAAATGCCACCCACCTCCCCAGCACAGTGCTCGCTCTTTCCTGCACTGTCCCGGGACACTGCTCCTTTCTTATTCACTCTTATCAGAACCTCAAGGGGTCACCATATGCGCCCCTATAGAAAAAAGGAAGGGCATAGCTACGCATGCCAACTTTCAGTCAAACAGGGAAACACTAAACTTATGTCATTTTCTTATATAAGATCATGTAGCTTCTCAAGATTTCAGGTGGAATTTATACTCGCCACAGCATGTTCCTCAGCTTAAAAAAAAACATTTTCAGTTCGAGATTAGAATCGTGCTACCCTGTGACATGATTTCTTCAAACAAGTGCAGCCCTCTTAAATGGCTGATTGCATGTGCTGCTAACAAGCATGCATTTCATGCATTAAAACAGCCAATTTCAATGTGTGCCTGACTTTGTGTCCCCACTGCTTTGTTTGAACGGAAATTAGCAATGCATTCTTTTGACAGTTCTTGAAAATGAACTAACCCAAGAAAGTGTGAGTGCCCGGAAAGCCTCTGCCGATGGAAGTTCTAGCCTAACCAGAAGACCTTCAAGCCGAGCCGTAACTATGGCCAAGACAAACATGCACAAATTTACCGACGTGAGTAATACTGTGGTTCGAAAGTAGGATATGCCAGGCATGCAATTTCTTATAAATGGTCATCATTCTGACATAACCTGGCCTCACTTCCTTGCTTATAAAATAGTGCCTTGTAGTCATTAAGCAAGTTTATTCTGTGTGACACTAACAAGGCAAAGATCACAATTTTTCCAGCTCTTCAAGTAACCTAACTAGAAATGCAGAACTGTGCTTTTCAACATAAATCATTTTAAAGAAACTGCTCAGAAAACACTGTTAAACATCAATGTAATGAAATTCTCGATATGAGAAGTGTTGCATATAACATACCTTTAAGTAATATTAGACAATATATTTTTAACCACAATATAACAGCGAACGCATATTTGTAATTTTAATACAACGAAGTTTCATGGCTGCCGCCAATGTTAGTGCCAGTGGTTGGATCTGAGTTACATTTAGAAACCTCATACACCTTTTCCAAGCGTCCACCAATTTGATTTTCCTGAAATTTGATGACCATCACATCTGCTTGGAAAACACTGTGCACTGAAAGTAAACCATCGAGTGGCAAAAACATGTAAAATAAGTGAATATATCGCATGTGCTCAGAAAGCTCTGCACGTGAAGTAAATGTGAAAAAAAAAAAATACGTATCTGTGGCCAAAAAAAATCATCCAAGCCAGGAAGTGAACAAGTTCGCTACTTGATATTCAAAAGAACCAGGAAGCAAACACACACAAGCTAAAATTACCAGCAGCTGAAAGTCTGAAGGAGCCCGCGATAGTCCTACAATGCAGCCAAAGGTGCTAGAAAATTTACAAGTGGCGCCATCTCACGTCACCTGTTAAAAGGAGGCCACGGAAGCCCAGCCGGTTTCGCCCCAGAAGTATATTATAGTTCACAAGAATATGGCTACAGCCCAGGCCACTTAGAATTTGGATTGGATTAGATCAAACTGTATTGCTGTATTTACTCACTTTACTATTTACGATGTGGATGCGATTAGATTTGATTCGACCTGGATTGCTGCATTTACTGTAGATTTGCATTCCCACCTAATTTGCACACCTCTAATATTTTTTCAGAAACACAAACACAAACACACACACACACACACACACACACACACACACACACACACACACTCACTCACTCACTCACTCACTCACTCACTCACTCACTCACTCTACTATTGCTACTCCTACTACTTGCATATTCCGTGCACCTTGCCTCGACGACAACCAACGGCCGCATCCCAAAAACGGAGCATTCTTGGGATGTGTACTGAAAAAAACATTTTTTTTTCACGACAAGGACATGCATGTTGTTCTATTTCTCTGGGCTCTGACACTTGGAGTGCAACGAAAGTCACCAGACGCACTTGGAGTGCAGCGAAAGTCACCAGATGCTTGGAATGAAAGCTGGGGGTAGCATTTCAATCGCTGGCATTTGAATATGTCGTGGCAAGAACAAATCTGTTAGGTCGCTACAGCTTCCTCAATTCTATAGATGAATCACAGATGCCGGTGTGTTACCTTTGTTTAGGTACTCTTCCATGGACGTTATGGTAAAAAGTAATGAGATTTAATAACGATCTCAAGAAACTGAAATGAGAAATTTAGCAGAAGTTACTCCATGCTACCTTTAAAACGCGAGCTACCAGCAATAAGTGCATAGCTGAGGACATTTGCCATTGCATCACCAACAATAATGGCAATAATAATAATATTATTATTATTATTATTAGGAGGCATAACATAGCCCGGAAAGCCTCTGCCGATGGAAGTTCTAGCCTAACCAGAAGACCTTCAAGCCGAGCCGTAACTATGGCCAAGACAAACATGCACAAATTTACTGACGTGAGTAATACTGTGGTTCGAAAGTAGGATATGCCGTGCGATATGTAGAAGCAAAAGATATCAAAATAATGCATGTACTGTTAGGGTGTTTATTAGCCGGCACACAGCGAGCATACACAATGGCGACAGTAACGGCCAAGCACGGACTCTCAGCGCGAGCAGCGTCCTTTTTGGGTAGACCCACTAGAAAGCACTTGAGAATTCGACCCATTTTAGTGTTTGGAGGCGTCTCTACAATTACCCCGGGGTCAAAGAGGGAGTTGCCTGGCGACTTAACAGCTTGTCACTATGAGCGGGTCATAGTAAGCCTTCAGGCGCTCCACGTTGACTATGTCGCGCCCGCGACGGCACATGTTCGAAGATTGTTTAATTGGTTCGATCAGATAGTTGACCAGAGATGTGGGCTCGATGACACGGTAGGGGCCTTCGTATTTTGGGAGTAGTTTGGAAGAAATGCCAGCTACAGAGGTCGGGATTGAGAGCCACACGAGAGAACCAGGAAGGAACGTGGGCTCAGCAGTGGTGGAGCCATCACGAATACTCTTTTGCTGCTCTTGCTCATGCGTCGTAAAATTCTTAGTAAGCTCGTGACACTCTTCAGCAAGCCTGGCTGTCTCAAAAATAGGTGCACACTATGGATCCGCCATGTACGGGAGTATTGTGTCGATGGTGTGTGACAGGTGCCTTCCGCACAGCAAGAAGAAAGGTGAAAAACCACTCATGTTCTGAAGGGCGGTGTTGTAGGTGTAGGTGATGAAGGGCAGTATAGTATCCTAATTCGTGTGGTTGGCGGCGACATACATCAAAAGCATGTC